CCATTTTCCCCCATTTTTCTGTCCCGAGACCGTTCCAGCTCTGTCCCACGCTGTCCCGGCGATGTCGCCAGGTGTCCCCAGGTGTGTCCCACGCTGTCCCCAGGTGGGTCCCCAGGTGTGCCAGGTGTGCCCAGGGTCTCTCAGCGCTGTCCCCAAGGTGCCACATCCCAAAAAAATCCCATAAAAGTCCCATTTCCCCCCATTTTTCCATCCTGAGGCCGTTCCAGCTCTGTCCCACGCTGTCCTGGGATGTCCCCAAGTGTGGTTCCAGGTGTTCCCAGGTGTGTTCAGGTGTGTTCAGGTGTGCCAGGTGTGCCCAGGGTCTCTCAGCGCTGTCCCCAAGGTGCCACATCCCAAAAAAATCCCATAAAAGTCCCATTTCCCCCCATTTTTCCATCCTGAGGCCGTTCCAGCTCTGTCCCACGCTGTCCCGGCGATGTCCCCAGGTGTGCCAGGTGTCCCAGGTGTGTCCCCAGGTGTGCCAGGTGTTCCAGGTGTGCCCAGAGTCTCTCAGCGCTGTCCCCAAGGTACCACATCCCAATAAAATCCCATAAAAGTCCCATTTTTCCCCATTTTTCTGTCCCAATGCCGCTCCAGCTCTGTCCCACGCTGTCCCGGCGATGTCTCCAGGTGTGCCAGGTGTCCCAGGTGTGTCCCAGCATGAGCTCGCAGGCGCGGGCCAGCTCGGCCAGGCGCCGCCGGGCGTAGTCCAGGCGGTTCAGGGCCAGCTGGCAGCTCTTGCGCGCCGCGTAGCTCGAGCCCTCGTGGGGCTGCCCCGTGGCCACCTGCGCAGGTGAGACACACCTGAGAGGGTCAGGTACACCTGGGGGGTCAAAAACCCCAAATCCCACCTGGGAAACCCCAAAATCCCCCTAAATCCCACCTGGGGTCACCCAAAACTCAAAGGAACATCAGTGAAAACTCACCTGCGCAGGTGAGACACACCTGAGCGGCTCAGGTACATCTAGAGGGAGCCAGAAAACCCCTAATTCCACCTGGGAAACGCCAAAATCCCCCCCAAATCCCACCTGGGGTCACCCTAAAAACCCAAAGGAGCATCAGTGAAAACTCACCTGGAACACCCCAGACTCACCTGTGCAGGTGAGACACACCTGAGCGGCTCAGGTACACCTGGGGGGTCAAAAACCCCCCAAATCCCACCTGGGAAACCCCAAAATCCCCCCCAAATCCCAGCTGGGGTCACCCAAAACCCAAAGGAACATCACTGAAAACTCACCTGGAACGCCCCAGACTCACCTGCGCAGGTGAGACACACCTGAGCGGGTCAGGTACACCTGGGGGGTCAAAAAACCCCCAAATCCCACCTGGGAAACCCCAAAATCCCACCTGGGGTCACCTAAAAACCCAAATCCCCAATGGAACATCACTGGAAACTCACCTGGGCAGGTGAGGGACACACCTGAGAGCCCCAGGTGCACCTGGGGGACCCCAAAATCCCCCCAAACCCCACCTGGGCGACCCCAAATCCCACCTGGGACACCCCAAAATTTCAAGGAAACATCAATAAAATCTCACCTGGAACACCCCAAACCCACCTGGGGGACCCCAAACCCCACCTGGGACACCCCAAATCTCACCTGCCCCCCCCCCAGCCCCCGCGGGGCGTGGCCGGGCCTCACCTGGGTCAGGTAGCGGATCTGGGCCGAGAGCTCGGCCTCCACCTTGGCCACGGCGGCGCCGAACTGCGCGGCCTGGCGGTCCAGGTGCCGCTCCTGGGGCTTCTCCTTGGACAGCTCCAGGATCACGGAACCTGAAACACACCTGGGTCACACCTGGGGTACCTGAGAGACACCTGGGGGCACCCAAACCCACACCTGGGCACACCCAACCCCCCCCGGCGGTCCAGGTGCCGCTCCTGGGGCTTCTCCTTGGACAGCTCCAGGATCACTGAACCTGAAACACACCTGGGTCACACCTGGGGTACCTGAGAGACACCTGGGGGCACCCAAACCCACACCTGGGCACACCCAACCCCCCCCTGGCGGTCCAGGTGCCGCTCCTGGGGCTTCTCCTTGGACAGCTCCAGGATCACCGAGCCTGCAACACACCTGGGTCACACCTGGGCACACCTGAGATACACCTGGATATACCTGAGATACACCTGGGCACAGCTGGGGCACACCTGGGGGCACCAAAACCCACACCTGGGCACACCTGGGGCAACTGGGGGCACCTGAGACACACCTGGGGCACCTGAGATACACCTGGATATACCTGAGATACACCTGAGATACACCTGGGCACACCTGGGAGCACTTGAGACACACCTGGGCACACCTGTGTACACCCAAACCCCACATTTGGGCACACCTGTGGGCACCTGGACACCCCTGGATAAACCTGGGGCACACCTGGGCACACCTGGGCTCACCTGGATCACACCTGGGACACACCTGTGCTCACCTCTGGCCCCTCCCCGTGACCTCTGACCCCATTTCGGCCTCTCCCATTGGTCCCTTGGAGCTCACCTGAGCGCTGGCCACGCCCCTTAAACGCGAATTAGAGTACACCTGGGTCACACCTGGGGTACCTGAGAGACACCTGGGGGCACCCAAACCCACACCTGGGCACACCCAAACCCCCCCTGGCGGTCCAGGTGCCGCTCCTGGGGCTTCTCCTTGGACAGCTCCAGGATCACGGAACCTGAAACACACCTGGGTCACACCTGGGGTACCTGAGAGACACCTGGGGGCACCCAAACCCACACCTGGGCACACCCAAACCCCCCCTGGCGGTCCAGGTGCCGCTCCTGGGGCTTCTCCTTGGACAGCTCCAGGATCACGGAACCTGAAACACACCTGGGTCACACCTGGGGTACCTGAGAGACACCTGGGGGCACCCAAACCCACACCTGGGCACACCCAAACCCCCCCTGGCGGTCCAGGTGCCGCTCCTGGGGCTTCTCCTTGGACAGCTCCAGGATCACGGAACCTGAAACACACCTGGGTCACACCTGGGGTACCTGAGAGACACCTGGGGGCACCCAAACCCACACCTGGGCACACCCAAACCCCCCCTGGCGGTCCAGGTGCCGCTCCTGGGGCTTCTCCTTGGACAGCTCCAGGATCACGGAACCTGAAACACACCTGGGTCACACCTGGGGTACCTGAGAGACACCTGGGGGCACCCAAACCCACACCTGGGCACACCCAAACCCCCCCTGGCGGTCCAGGTGCCGCTCCTGGGGCTTCTCCTTGGACAGCTCCAGGATCACGGAACCTGAAACACACCTGGGTCACACCTGGGGTACCTGAGAGACACCTGGGGGCACCCAAACCCACACCTGGGCACACCCAAACCCCCCCTGGCGGTCCAGGTGCCGCTCCTGGGGCTTCTCCTTGGACAGCTCCAGGATCACGGAACCTGAAACACACCTGGGTCACACCTGGGGTACCTGAGAGACACCTGGGGGCACCCAAACCCACACCTGGGCACACCCAAACCCCCCCTGGCGGTCCAGGTGCCGCTCCTGGGGCTTCTCCTTGGACAGCTCCAGGATCACGGAACCTGAAACACACCTGGGTCACACCTGGGGTACCTGAGAGACACCTGGGGGCACCCAAACCCACACCTGGGCACACCCAAACCCCCCCTGGCGGTCCAGGTGCCGCTCCTGGGGCTTCTCCTTGGACAGCTCCAGGATCACGGAACCTGAAACACACCTGGGTCACACCTGGGGTACCTGAGAGACACCTGGGGGCACCCAAACCCACACCTGGGCACACCCAAACCCCCCCTGGCGGTCCAGGTGCCGCTCCTGGGGCTTCTCCTTGGACAGCTCCAGGATCACCGAGCCTGCAACACACCTGGGTCACACCTGGGCACACCTGAGATACACCTGGATATACCTGAGATACACCTGGGCACAGCTGGGGCACACCTGGGGGCACCAAAACCCACACCTGGGCACACCTGGGGCAACTGGGGGCACCTGAGACACACCTGGGGCACCTGAGATACACCTGGATATACCTGAGATACACCTGAGATACACCTGGGCACACCTGGGAGCACTTGAGACACACCTGGGCACACCTGTGTACACCCAAACCCCACATTTGGGCACACCTGTGGGCACCTGGACACCCCTGGATAAACCTGGGGCACACCTGGGCACACCTGGGCTCACCTGGATCACACCTGGGACACACCTGTGCTCACCTCTGGCCCCTCCCCGTGACCTCTGACCCCATTTCGGCCTCTCCCATTGGTCCCTTGGAGCTCACCTGAGCGCTGGCCACGCCCCTTAAACGCGAATTAGCCCCGCCCCTTTCAGCCCCGCCAATGCCCGCCCACCGTCCCCATGGCAACCCAAGCCCCGCCCACCCCCGAACCCGGAAGTGCCTCCCCGCTCTACCAGGGAGGGGGCGGCGGGAAGCGGCGTTTGGACGTGAAAAAAAGGGGTTTGATCGTTAAAAAAGGGGTTTGGGTCCAAAATAAGGGGGTTTGATCCCACAATAACGGGGCTTGAACATAAAAAAAAGGGGCTTGGGCCCAAAATAACGAGGTTTCAACCTTAAAAAAGGGTTTGGGCCAAAATAACGGGGTGTGAGCCCAAAATAACGGGGTTTGATTCCACAATGACGGGGTCTGACCCTAAAAAAGGGCGTCTGAACCCCAAGTGAGGATGATCTCAGGGACTGGGAACACCAAAATCCAGGATGTGACCCCAAAATTCTGGGGTGGGACCCCAAAATCCGGGATGTGACCCCAAAATCCGGGGTGGGGACCCCAAAATCCGGGATGTGACCCCAAAATCCGGGGTGGGGACCCCAAAATCCGGGATTATCACCTCAAAATCTGGGATGTGACCCCATAAAACGGGATCTGACCCCAAAAAATGGGATGTGACCCCAAAATCCAGGATTTGGCCCCAAAATCCGGGTTCCCCTCAGGCCCGGCCCCTCCCCCTCCTCTCCCTGTGACCCCTCATGACCCCTCATGACCCCTGGGTGACCCCTGGGTGACCCCTGACCCCGGTGACCCCGCTGACCCCGCCCCTCCCCCAGGCCGCCCTCGGGGGGCTCCTCGGCGTCGCCAGCGCCCGCCTGGGCTCCATGAAGACGCGGTGAGTGACAGCCCCGCCGGCCAATCGCGGCGCGGGGCCCGCCCCGCCCCACTCCTGATTGGCTGCCGCGCTGGGCTGAGTGGGAACCAATGGGAGCTGCGCTCTGGGCTGCCATTGGGTGGGGAGGAGCCAATCAGGAGGGGTTTAGCGCTGGGGGCGGGGCAGCCAATCAGGAGGAGGGGGTGTGGCCTGAGCACTCTGTGATTGGTTAATCTATTGTGGGTGGGGTTGGAGCAGCCAATCAGGGGTTTCTGTTGTTGCATGGCTAATTAGGGTGGGTGGGGCTTGTCTGGGGTTGGCTGCTGGGTGTGGGGTGGGCGTGGCTTCACCCCAGCCAATCAGAGTCCACCTCTGAGCCACGCCCAGCTCTGGGCTGCTCTTATATGGAAAGTGGGTGGGGTTTGGGCGTCAGCAGCCAATCAGAGCTGTGGGCAGTGCCACTGTGGGTGTGGCTTTCTCTGAACCAATCAGATTGCTCGTGAGAGCCAGGCTCTGGCCTTTGCTGCCCTTATAAGGAAAGTGGGTGGGGTCTAACACCCTTGGCAGCCAATCAGAGCTGTGGGCAGGGCCAGGGTAGGCGTGGCTTCACCTCAGCCAATCAGATTCCTTGTGTGAGCCACGCCCTGCCTTGTGTGGCTCATTTAAGGAAAGTGGGCGGGGTTTGGGTGTCAGCAGCCAATTGGGCATGTGGGCAGGGCCAGGGTGGGCGTGGCTTCTTCTGGACCAATCAGGCTCCCCCTGCGAGCCGCACCCTGCCCTGTGTTGCCCATATAAGGAAAGTGGGCGGGGTTTGCCGCTCCCAGCAGCCAATGAGGGCTGCGGGGCATGGCCGGGCGGGGCGGTGGGCGTGTCCCGGCTCAGCCAATGGCGTTGCAGCTTCGAGGGGCTGTGCCTGCTGTCGCTGCTGGTGAGCGAGAGCCCCAGCGAGGCCTTCCAGCAGCACTGCCTGGGCTGGCTGCGCCTCCTGCAGCACCTGCTACAGGTGAGCGCACCGGGACGCACCTGGGACACACCTGGGGATGTGACAGACACACCTGGGGATGTGACAGGCACACCTGGGGATGTGACAGGCACACCTGGGGATGTCACAGACACACCTGGGGATGTGACAGACACACCTGGGGATGTCACAGACACACCTGGGGATGTGACAGACACACCTGGGGATGTGACAGACACACCTGGGACACCGGGGAACACACCTGGGGATGTCACAGACACACCTGGGGATGTGACAGACACACCTGGGGATGTCACAGACACACCTGGGGATGTGACAGACACACCTGGGACACCGGGGACACCTGGGACACACTTGAGAATGTCACAGACACACCTGGGAATGTCACAGACACACCTGGGACACCGGGGACACACCTGGGACACACCTGGGGATGTGACAGACACACCTGGGACACACCTGGGGATGTGACAGACACACCTGGGACACACCTGGGGACACTGGGGACACACCTGGGACAGCGGGGACACACCTGGGACACACCTGGGGATGTGACAGGCGTAACAGGCACACCTGGGGATGTGACAGGCACACCTGGGGATGTGACAGGCACACCTGGGACAGCCGGGACACACCTGGGGGGACTGGGATACACCTGGGGACACCTGGGACAGCTGGGGACACCGGGGACACACCTGGGGACACTGGGGACAGCGGGGGACAGTGGGGATACACCTGGGAATGTCACAGACACACCTGGGGGGACTGGGACACACCTGGGACACACCTGGGACACACCTGGGCATACCTGGGACAGCTGGGGGGACTGGGGGACACCTGGGACAGCTGGGGACATCACAGACACACCTGGGGACAGCTGGGGACACGGGGGAGACACCTGGGGACACACCTGGGGGCACACCTGGTGACAGTGGGGGTACACCTGGGGACGTCATAGACACAGCTGGGGACACCTGGGACACACCTGGGGCTGTGACAGACACACCTGGGGACAGCTGGGGACACTGAGGGACACAGCTGGGGACACACCTGGGACATTTGGGGGGACTGGGACACACCTGGGGACACCTGGGATGGCTGGGACACACCTGGGGGGGTTCAGGGTCCCTGGGGGGGGTCACACACCCAGTTTTTTTACCAATTCCTTTCAATTTCTGGAGTTTTTTTGGGGTGTTCTGATGAGGTTCATTCCGGGGGGGATTTGTATAATTTCGGGAGGGGTCCTGAGGGGTTTCGGGGCCCCCCCAGTCCCGGGACCCCCCCTCAAGGCAATCCTGGGGGTGTTTTGGGGGGTCCCACACCCCGTTTTTTGGTCAGTTTTAATGAATTTTTTGGGGGATTTTTCAGGGGTTTTTGGGGTTGTTTTAAATGTGGGAACTCCGGGCGGTCTCTATAATTTGGGGAGGGGTCCTGACGGGTTTTCGGCCCCCCCCAGTCGCAGGACCCCCCTCCCACGGTGGCCCTGGGGGTGTTTTGGGGGGTCCCACACCCCGTTTTTGACCAATTTTCACCATTTTTGGTGCATTTTTCGGGGTTTTTTTGGGTTATTTTAATTGGGACAATTCTGGGGGGGATCTCTATAATTTGGGGAGGGGTCCTGATGGGTTTTGGGGCCCCCCCAGACCCAAGACCCCCCCTCAGGATAATCCTGGGGGTGTTTTGGGGGGTCCCACGCCCCATTTTTGACCAACTTTAATGAATTTTTTGGGGATTTTTCTGGTTTTTTTTGGGGTTGTTTTAAATAGGGGAAGTCCGGGGGGCTCTCTGTAATTTGGGGAGGGGTCCTGACGGGTTTTGGGGCGCCCCCAGACCGTTAAAATGTGACTAAAGGGGGTTGGAATGGGAGTAGAAAGGGTTAAAGGGGGGCTAAAATGGGTCTGGGGGTTTGAATTGGGTCTGGGGGCTTCGGGGGGGTCAGTTTGTAGGGGTTGTGGGGGCAAGGTTGGGGAAAAATTGAGTTAAAAGGGAAAAAATGGGATTAAAATGGGGATAAAAGGGGTTCAAATGGGATAAAAGGGGGTTGAAATGGGAGTGGAAAGGGTTAAAGGGGGGTTAAAATGGGTCTGGGGGCCCCAAATGGGTCTGGGGGCTCCTGGGGGTCTGTTTCGGGGGGAATTTTGGGATTTTGGGGTGTTTTGGGACCTCAGCAATTTGGGGAGGGGTCGGGGGATCCCGAATAAATTGGGGAGGGGTCTCAGTGAATTTGGGGAGGGGTCCCAGTGAATTTGGGGAGGGGTCCCAGCCCCTTTCCCTTCCCCAGTGTGAGTTCTCCACCCTGGAGCGGATTTTTTGGGGGGAATTTTTGGGATTTCCGGGACTTTCAGGACCTCAGGAATTTGGGGAGGGGTCGGGGGGTCCCGAATAATTTGGGGAGGGGTCCCAGTGAATCTGGGGAGGAGTCCCAGTGAATTTGGGGAGGGGTCTCAGCCCCTTTCCCCTCCCCCAGTGTGAGCTCACTATCCTGGAAGGGATTTTTTGGGGGGAATTTTTGGGATTTCCGGGACTTTCAGGACCTCAGGAATTTGGGGAGGGGTCTCTGAATTTGGGGAGGGGTCTCAGTGAATTTGGGGAGGGGTCCCAGTGAATTTGGGGAGGGGTCCCAGCCCCTTTCCCTTCCCCAGTGTGAGTTCTCCACCCTGGAGCGGATTTTTTGGGGGGAATTTTTGGGATTTCCGGGACTTTCAGGACCTCAGGAATTTGGGGAGGGGTCGGGGGGTCCCGAATAATTTGGGGAGGGGTCCCAGTGAATCTGGGGAGGAGTCCCAGTGAATTTGGGGAGGGGTCTCAGCCCCTTTCCCCTCCCCCAGTGTGAGCTCACTATCCTGGAAGGGATTTTTTGGGGGGAATTTTTGGGATTTCTTAATAATTCGATGAATTTGGGGAGGGGTCTCAGTGAATTTGGGGAGGGGTCCCAGTTCATTTTCCCCCTCCGCAATACGATTTGAGGGATTTTTTTGGGGGGAATTTTTGGGATTTCCGGGACTTTCAGGACCTCAGGAATTTGGGGAGGGGTCCCAGTGAATTTGGGGAGGGGCTTCAGTGAATGTGGGGAGGGGTCTCAGTGAATGTGGGGAGGGGTCTCAGTGAATTTGGGGAGGGGTCCCAGTGAATTTGGGGAGGGGTCCCAGCCCCTTTCCCTTCCCCAGTGTGAGTTCTCCACCCTGGAGCGGATTTTTTGGGGGGAATTTTTGGGATTTCCGGGAATTTCGGGACCTCAGGAATTTGGGGAGGGGTCGGGATTTGGGGGGTCCTGGAGGGATTTTGGGGGTCTTAGAACAGTTTTGGGGTCTTTTTTTGGGGAGTTTTGAGGTGATTTGGGGTGGTTGGGGTTTTTTGGGGGGAATTCTGGGGGGTCCTGAGATGGTTTTGGGGGGATTTTGGGGTTTTTTAGGGGGTGTTGGGAGGTTTTAGGGGCTTCTTGGAACAATTTTGGGGGCATTTTGGGGTCTTTTTGGGGATTTTGGGGTGGTTTTGGGGTGGTTTTGAGGAGATTTTGGGGTTTTTGGGGGAATTTTTTGGGGTGGTCCTGAGATGGTTTTGGGCGGATTTTTGGGGGATGTGGGGCATTTTGGGGTGTCCTAGGGGGGTTTTTGGGGGGGTTTCTGGGGATTTTTGGGGCCCTCAATCAGAATTTTGGGGTCCCAACCCTGGTTTTGGGGTTTCTGATCCCGTTTTTGGGGTTCCTGACCCCGTTTTTGTGTGTTCCCAGCTGCCCCGCGAGTGCTGTGCGCTGCTGCTGGCGCTGGGCTGGGGTTTCTGGGGCAGTTTAGGGGGTTTTGGGGCAGTTTCTGGGGGGTTTTTGGGGTGCCAGTTCCATTTTTGGGGTTCCTGACCCCCTTTTTGGGGTTTCTGACCCCGTTTTTGGGGTTCCTGACCCCGTTTTTGGGGTTCCTGACCCTGTTTTTCCCCATTCCCAGCTGGCCTGTGAGTGCTACGCGCTGCTGCCGGCGCTGGGCCGGGGTTTCTGGGGCACTTTTGGGGGATTTTGGGCAGTTTCTGGGGGTTTTTGCGTCCCCCAATCAAAATCTTGGGGTCCCAACCCCATTTTTGGGGTTCCTAGCTCCATTTTTGGGGTTCCTGACTCCGTCTTTCCCCATTTCCAGTTGGCTTGCGAGTGCTACGCGCTGTTGCCAGCGCTGGGCTGGGATTTCTGGGGCAGTTTTGGGGGATTTTGGGGCAGTTTTGGGGGGATTTTGGGCAGTTTCTGGGTTTTTTTTGGGGTCCTGAATCCAAATTTTGGGTTTTAGGGTTATTTTTGGGGTTCCTGACCCCGTTTTTGTGTGTTCCCAGCTGCCCTGCGAGTGCTGTGCGCTGCTGCCGGCGCTGGGCCGCGGATTCTGGGGCAGTTTAGGGGGTTTTTGGGGCAGTTTCTGGGGGGTTTTTTGGGGTGCCAGTTCCATTTTTGGTGTTTCTGACCCCATTTTTGGGTTCCTGACCCCGTTTTTTGGGTTCCTGACCCCGTTTTTCCCAATTCCCAGCTGGCCTGCGAGTGCTACGCGCTGCTGCCAGCGCTGGGCCGCGGATTCTGGGGCAGTTTTGGGGGTTTTGGAGTGGTTTCTGGGGGTTTTTGAGGGTTTTTGGGGGTTCAGAATCCAAATTTGAGGGTTTTAGGGTTATATTTGGGGTTCCTGACCCCGTTTTTCCCCGTTCCCAGCTGGCCTGCGAGTGCTACGCGCTGCTGCCGGCGCTGGGCCGCGGGTTCTCGCAGGGGCTGCGGCACACGGAGTGCTGGCACCAGCAGCTGCAGGGGGTGCTGGCCACGCTGCACGGGCTGCTGGGGGCCCTCTTCGAGGGCTGCGAGACCGGTGAGGGGGCCTGAGAAATTTGGGGTCATTTATGAGGGATTTGGGGTCATTTGGGGGGGATTTGGGGTGGTTTGGGGGGAATTTGGGGTCATTTGGTGGGGATTTGGGGAGTGCTGGCCACGCTGCACGGGCTGCTGGGGGCTCTCTTAGAGGGGTGTGAGACCGGTGAGGGGGCCTGGAGAAATTTGGGGTCATTTACGGGGGATTTGGGGTCATTTGGGGGGGATTCGGGGTGGTTTGGGGTGGTTGGGATTTGGGATGGTTTGGGGGGGATTTGGGGGATGTTTGGGGGGGTTTAAGGGGGATTTGGGGTCATTTGGGGGGGATTTGGGGGGTGCTGGCCACGCTGCACGGGCTGCTGGGGGCCCTCTTCGAGGGCTGCGAGACCGGTGAGGGGGCCTGAGAAATTTGGGGTCATTTATGAGGGATTTGGGGTCATTTGGGGGGGATTTGGGGTGGTTTGGGGTGGTTCATGGGGGATTTGGGGGATGTTTGGGGGGATTTGGGTTGGTTTGGGGGTGCTGGCCACGCTGCACGGGCTGCTGGGGGCCCTCTTAGAGGGCTGTGAGACCAGTGAGGGGTCCTGAGAAATTTGGGGTCATTTACGGGGGATTTGGGGTCATTTGGGGGGGATTTGAGAGGATTTGGGGTGGTTTATGGGGATTTTAGGAGGTGTTTGTGAGGGATTTGGGGTCATTTGGAGTGCTTATGGGGATTTTGGGGGATGTTTGGGGGCACTTGAGGTGATTTAGGTGAGGTTTCAGGGGATTTGGGAGGGATTTTGGGAGGATTTGGGGTTTAGGGGAGGTTTAAGGGGATTTTGGGGGGATTTGGGATCACTTGGGGGGAATTTGGGGTGGTTTAAGGAGGATTTGGGGTGGTTTAGGTGAGATTGAAGGGGATTTTGGGGCAATTTGGAAGGCATTTGAGATGGTTTAGGAGGATTTGAGGTGGTTTAGAGGAGGTTTGGAGGAGATTTTGGGAACTTAGGGGAAGTTTCAGGGGGATTTGGGGGAAATTGTGAAGATTTAGGGGAGGTTTGGGGGAGTTTAGGGGAAATTTGGGTGGTTTGGGGAGGATTGGGGAGGATATTGGGAGATTTGGGGTGATTTGGTGGAAATTTGGGGGGATTTGGGGTGGTTTTGGGGTCCTAAAAGGCTCATGAAATGAGCTGAGGATTTTGGGGTGAATTTTGGGGTTATTTCAGGTGGATTTGGGGTGAATTCTGGGGCTATTTTGGGTGAATTTGGGGTTCCTTGGGGATCCTACACCTCTGCTGAAGGGAGATGAGGATTTTGGGGTGAATTTTGGGGTTATTTCGGGTGGATTTGGGGTTTTACAGGGCTGCTGAAGGGAGGTGAGGATTTTGGGGTGAATTTTGGGGTTTTTGGTCCCAGACCCGCTCCCGTACGAGGGTCCCGGGGTGGAGCTGCTGCTGCCCCCGCCCCAGGACGATGCCGGGGGGATCCTGACCCTGCACTCGAGGTTCTCGGGGCTCTGCCGCGTCCTCAAACTGCTCCTGAGGTACCAAAATCCCCCAAATTCACCCCAAAATCCCAAACCCCCCAAAATCCACCCAAAACCCCCAAATCCCCTCAAAATGCAAAATCACCCCAAAATCACCCAAATCACCCCAAATCACCCCAAATCACCCCAGATCACCTCCAAATCACCCCAAAT